CTTTTACTTGTAGTCTTATCAAGATCTTGTTGCACGTCTAGAGCCGGTTATAATGGAATTGGAACGAGCTGAAAATGTTCTTGTTGTATGTCATCAAGCTGTTGCACGCTGTATTCTTGCTTATTTTCTTAATAAAGATGCTGGTATGTTTTAGCAATATAAATTTAATATTATTTTATTGACATTTTTTCTTAAGAGGATCTTCCATATACAAAAGTACCATTACATACGGTGATTAAATTAACACCAATGGCTTATGGTTGTTTAATGGAATGTATACCACTAGGAACTGAAGCTGTAAATACTCATCGTGAAAAACCAAAGGTTAGAACGATTAATAAAACAAAAATATTCTAATAAATTAAATTGTATATTGATTTTTAGAATTGTCGACCTGATCGAACAATATCTGAAGCAGTAAATGAATTTCTTGAAGAACATACAGGTGCAACTAAAATTCGAACGAAAAGTGAAATTGTTTATAAAAGTGGTGGAACAAAAATTGAAACAATTGATATTAATGGAAATCCTGTTTCGGATTATTCTCGTACTAATAGTGAGCCAAGTTCAATATAATAATATATATTTTGTTTTAATTTAAAAAAAAAAACAAATATTAAATCGAAAAAAAAAAACGGGAAATGATTGTGATTGTTCTTTTTTCTACTTTATTATATTAGTTATCATTGTGCTAATTTTATTACCAGTAGTTTGTTTTTTCTTCCGAATAGTTGTTCAGAAATGTTTTTATGACTTTCTTTTGTTTTGTGTGAAAAAGAAAAACAAAATATAGCACAATTGTATCGTATATTTAGATACTCTGTATAATATTGAAATAAAATAAAGTTCTTTTTTTTGTCTTTGAATTTGTATAAAATTTGTTTCAAGCTAAATAATTATTATTGGATTCTTATTTAAGAATTACAACAGGTAATAATAACACATTCATTATAGATATTCTCTTAAATACTACGAATGTTTTTTATTCTTAGTTCCTATACTATTGATAGTCTTCAAATGGAAGATCACAAAATCTTTTAGTGATGCATTCAGACACTTCCTTCGAAAATATTTTTTCATCTTTTTGTCAGTAGAACACATCCAAAAATGAGTTGATGCGAATTCTAGTGGATTTCAAAATAGATTTTATGACTAGAATCGCATTCTTTTTCCAAAATATTAGATCTGCTATTGAAATTTTCTTGCTCGATTTTGATCAAGTACACCGTAAACTGATTTACGAGAGAAATTATGACGCCACTGAGTATCATAGTAATATACAGGTCACGTGATAAAAAAAAAACACCTTTCTTTCTTTTCTACATTCAATGCATCATTGTGTAAAACATGCAAACCCAAAATTTCAGCATTCAATATCCTTTCTTTCAAAAGTTAGTCAATATAAACTTATTAATCGCTAACATATAGATACCAAAAAAAGCAGCAAAACATATCCTGCAAAAATTGTGCTAGTTTTCATCTCAGAAAATTATTCTAGTTTCTTTTTTAAATTATATTCAGAGGTAGAAAATTAAAAACTGAACCAAATAAGTTATTTTAGCACAATACAATGTTCATCGATTCAAGTTTTATAAAGTCAACATTGATGCATCAAAAATATCCATCTAATAACAATCGATGGCCTGGCGGGATTCAGAATCAGAGAATTCCAAGTGAAGTTTTATAAATGTTATGCAACTTTTTATTTTCTACAAATTGGTAAAAAATATTCCAAAACCAATTGGCATGCTCGAGGCGAGATGAAGTTCACATCTATCTCTCTCACGTAACGATTTTTGAAAAGAAAAAAAACATTTTCGGTGGTTTTCATTGCCATGAGACAATTTTAAAGCAAAATAAATACGACATTCAGAATTAGTGTGAAACATTACATTGAGTCAAGCACATTTTAGAGAAAACTTTTCTAAAAAAAACTGACTCCTTGAAGGCCACAAGGCAAAATTTTAATAAAATACAGCCGTGGGGACCACAGGTGAGTTTTTCAAAGGAAAATATTCTCTAAAATGTGTTTGACTCAATGTAATATTTCACACTGATTCCGAATGTTGTATTTATTTTGCTTTAAATTGTCTCATGGCAATGAAAAGTTGTCAGATGGATATTTTCGATACATCAAAATAATCATTTTTCATCCAAGTTGACTTCTATAAAACCTGAATCGATCAACACTCTATTATATTGAAATAGATCATTTTGTTTAATATTTCATTCTCTTTCTTTTAATATAATTTATTTAAAAAATTCGAATGATTTGCTGAGACGAATAGAAACACAATTTTTACAGGGAGTTTTTTGTTCTCATATGAATACGATAGTGATATAAAGACAACGCTGATTAATTCTTAAAAGACAGGATATTGGACGCTAACATTTTGGGATTGATAGTTTCAAACATCAATGCATTAAATGCACAAAAAAAGAATTTTCTTTCTTAACTTTTCTTGGTAAAGTCCGGTAACAATAAAAAAAACTTTCTACAGAACATAAACAGGTTCGCAATTCAATATGTTCATATAGATCAAATCCTTATAACACTGTTTTATTACTGAATGAAATCGGCAGACTATTCTACATTTGAATTATAAAATGTTTTCAATGGATTTAAATATTGCTTCTAGCTTTCTTTTTTATATAACATATTGCATTAAATATTCGATTCAATATAAGAACCATGAGTGTTCCATATTTTGCCTCTCTGGTCATGATGATTGCATATGGTTTCTTAAGGCAATTTCTCTTTTATGTATATTTTACATGAATAGCAAATATCAAGGTGATGAATACAACTAATGAATAGTTTCGATAAGCATCTTGCTTCGAGTCATTGAAATGCATGAAAGCTTATGTAAATGATTAGCAATGAAGAAGAACAAGTAACTAGTTTTATTGAGGTTGATCGTCTGATCACAATCGAATTTCTTATTACAAATGCTTCACCTTCTTTGTTCTTCTAGTTAGATATCAAGTATTTTTCTTTTTCTGAAGACAAACATAAAGTATTATATTCAAGAACATTCATCGAAATATTTCTTGTTCTTTTCATATCATAAATTCTTCGAAAAAGCAAAAAAAAAATTCAATACATATCAAAACCATTCTATATGCAAGTTCACACTTTTTTAGATGTAAATACAAGAATAGATTCTTGTTGACACATGTCTACATGTACATTGACACGTAACCTACCTCTTGATCCAGTATACTATACTTAAGTAAAGAAAAACAAGACATACACTTTTAACCTATAAAGAGTCAAATGCTTTTCTTTTTCTCTAATAAGTGCTCGTTTTTTTTCGTTTTTGCTTCGACATGTCACACTTTTTCATTCATTTAATAGATCTGATGACCAGAAGGGGTGGAGATGAAAAAATGTTCACGCTCGAATGTCGAGTGGGAGAAACATCAAAGTGTGGCGCTACGTCTTTCGACAGCTGTTTGCACAAGCAATAACTCATTGAACAATCTTTCTCTTGTTCTCTTCTTTTGGTTTCTTTTATTTATGCTCTCTCTCTCTTTCTCTCTTTTTCGTCATACACATTTGATGAGCGAAGGCGCAAATTTTTGAATATTCGCCACTACAACGCGAACACGGTGCGAAAGAATAGAAAGAAACAAACGAACGCACGAACCAGTCAGCATCGTTTTGTTTACATAGTAGCTATAGCAGGCGAACCATCGTCTATATATTTTTCTTCTCCCCTCAAACGATCGAATCGGTCGTCACTGAACGAGCAACATTGTGTCTTTGTTCGTTTGTGTTCGTCCAGTTCGTTTCCTATCCATATATTCACAGTTGCATACGAACGAATCCGGAAAAAGAACGACACATGTATTTCTATTAAAACAAAAGACAAAGAAAACGGAATCAAAAATCAATATTCACAGCATGACAACAGCATACAAAGGTAAAGAAAATAATAAGAAAAAAAAAAAAAACCAAAATAGGAACAGATTCCAAATTTTCTGGTCAATAATGGTTATACATAAGAGCAAAAATATTGTGAATCGTTTGCATTAGCATGATTTCTAACTGAACATACACGCAAGCATACTTTATATGCCTTTCTATGCCGTATGATTATCGTTAATTAGGTGCCTTTTTCTTTACTGCCGCTATTCATTTCTTTTTTTTTGCTCGTTTCCCGATCAGCATACTGTACATTTATTCATTACTTCGAACTAATAAGAGAAAACTCTTTGATCATCACTAACAACATTTTTCTCAGTAAGTACATAGAGAAAAAAACAAACTAACGCATCCTTCATCATGTATTTATTCTCAGGCTTATTCTTTTTATTGTATGTTTATTTTATTCATCAAGAACTTGTCAACTAGTGAAAATACCTTAGAGAGATCATCTGTTCATCTTCGCATGATTGCATCATAACTTTAAACAAGTTATAAGAGATAGGTGAAAGACAAAAAATAGACGAAAGCTGTTTGTTTATATTCACATTTTCAACAATGCATTTATGTTAAAACTATTCAAACAATTTTTATCTAATTGCACCCAATGTAGAGCCTGTCAATTATCCAATTATTCAAAATTTCTGGACATCTGTTATCATTTCTTCTTTTTCTTATATTGATGTTAAGCAAATAAAGAATATGACCATCAAATTCAAATTGTTCTTGAAATTTGACATTTATATGCGAAAGAATAAATTTTCTCTTTGTATATCCCTGACCTTAGACGAACACCTATTCAATGTGACAATTGTTATTTCATCTTTTTTTTTTTTTCTTTTTTGAAAAAAAAAGTTCAAGATGTTATCTTGATGATTTAGTAGTCCATACATAATCGTTCTTTTTGTTCTCATGTCTTATGAAAGATGAGAGAGATAAATCTCTTTTCTTCCTTTTCTTTTCTTCTTCTTTTCTCAATCGTATATGAACGAGACATACAGACATGATGAATTACATTGTTGTTCTTTCTAGAATTTGTATTGATATTTAATTGATCTTAATAAATACAAAAATGCTTCAACAACATTCTCGTCTATCAAATAGTGATGATGATTCCGGTTGTGCTTTGGAAGAATATGCTTGGTGTCCACCGGGTCTTAAAGCAGAACAAGTAAATTTATATATATATAATTTATTATAGTTTAATTCTAATCATTTTTAAATATAGGTTCGACAATTTTTTAAATGTTTTCCTGAAGATAAAGTCCCATTTCTTAATTCAATTGGTGAAAAATATCGAACGGTAATTTGATTTATTGATTTTATTTTCTGATAGGATTATTTTCTTTTATAATAGAAAATGCTTGAAGAACAATTACCTCCACATGATTCTGATCCAAAATATTGTCGTTCATTGAATGAAGATGAAAAAAATGAATTAAGAATATTCAATGAACAACAACGACATAATGCACTTGGTCGTGGTTCTGCTAAACAATTACCATTGACACAATCACCGATACCTTGTCGTGGAGTAAGTTTAAGAATGTATATCATTCTTTTTTCTTTTCATTTTACTACGGTGTAAGATTAATATATGTTCAAGTTACGACACAAGAATAAATTCACAGTACTTTACTAAATATATATCGTATTTCAAAATTTGACATTTAAGACTAGCGGACTTGAAGGTGAAATATTCATTGAAATTAATCATGTCTTCGACAAGGTTTCAATATCTGGAGGCGATACAGATTAAACAGATTTTACTAGCTAAAAAATTAGATTGTTCTCATGTTGATCACCTTTCGATAACGGTTAATCTTACAGAGTAGCGGTATCAAACAAAGACGAATATGACTAGTAGATATGCATCAACGAAGAAAATCATCATCAAGTTAATTGTCTTTAACGTATAGACAATGTAAAGTTCATTGATTATAGTGAACAGCAAGTGTATTTGACATTTGCTTTGGCACTAAGTGTGAAATCAAAGAGAGATATCTCAATAGTTATAATAATAGACATATGTTGAATATGAAAAGATTCTAATTAATTTTCTTATATTGCTTTTCTGTTTTTTTTTATAGTGTCAAAAATTGATTGACTCAGGTTCGATATGTGTATTTGCCGAACGAGCCGGTCGTACTGGTCTTTGGCATCCAGAATGCTTTACTTGTAAACAATGCAAAGAATTTCTTGTTAACTTAATATATTTTTACAAAGATGGTCAACTTTATTGTGGACGACATCATGCTGAATTATATAAACCACGATGTACAGCATGTGATGAAGTATGTATTGATGATTACTTAAAAAGAAAAGAAAGAAAAATAAATCAAAACTACAAACATGATGTTTAATCAATAAGAAAAAGGACGAGAACAGTTGTCGTTCAAAAGAAACTATAATTGATTTGATAATCATTAGAGATAATAATATAGGCACGACCGAAATGAACGTAGACATTGAACATATATATACATATACAAAAACAATGTTAAATTATTAGTTCACTTATTTTTGAGTATATATACATACATATATGCATATATACATGGAAAGAAGACCATTACCACTTCGACGTAAGGTAGTGAGTGATGACAACTTTGTTATATTTTTCATATTGTTGACATATCATACCCATACTTACTCTGTATATTAATTCATACATGTCAAAATAGACATATTGTTTATCACACGATATTGAATCAATTGAGCATATGTCAGTGTTTGTTGATGATGATATCTTTATGTTTGGTTGACTACGAAAACAAATGAAGTTCTTTTCATTTTATTCTCTTCATCTATTTAGATCATCTTCGGTGATGAATGTACTGAAGCCGAAGGTTATAGTTGGCATATGGATCATTTTTGTTGTTCAAATTGTAAAAAACGTTTAGGTGGTGAACGTTATGTTATGCGTCAAACTCAACCATATTGTTTAAATTGTTTTGAAACAATGTATGCTGAATATTGTGATACATGTGGTGAACGTATTGAAACTGATCAACCACAAATGGCACATGAATCTCAACATTGGCATGCAACAGATACTTGTTTTTATTGTTATACATGTCGTATACCACTTCATAATCGTGGTTTTTTTCCACGTTATGGTGCATTGTTTTGTTCAAATGAATGCGCATCACAACGAAATAATCGTTTAATAAATACAAAATTAATTCAACAAAACAGATTTCATCAAAGTCCTGATATTATACCAACATCATATACACATACAAATCAACATGTTACAATTATTCCAGCACGTCCTATAACTACAAATCAACAACAAAAAATTATATCAAATCGACGAACAAAAGAACAAACAGGTTATGTATCAGATGGAGCTGGTGTTCAAAAATATAAACGTGATTATAATAATGGTTATTTATCTGATGGTACTGGTAGTCGTCGTTATAATCGTAATCATCAACCACAAGTATTTCTTCAATATCAATCATCTCCTAATTCAATATTATCAAATGATCATCATGAAAAACAAAAATTAAATATAACAAGAAGTCGTTCACGTGAACCAATACAATTTTATAATGATTTAAATCTTGAGCAACTTGATCGTCATGGTGCAACACTTGAAATTGCACGTTGTTCAACATCAAAATCATCACGTGCATCATTACCTGATTTAAGTCATAAACCTATATCAAAACCAAAAATAAAAACTTATCCAACAATATCACAAGAAACATTAGTTGAACAACCAAATCGTTTAAAAAATTTTGATTCAAATGAAATTATGTATCCTATATCAAGACCAAAATCAACAGCTTATTCAACGATATCATCACAATTTCCACGTTCACGTTCATTAAATGGTTCATCACGTTTTACAAAACAACATCATGTTCGTTTTGTTGATGATGAAGATAAAGAAAAAATTTATAAACGATCACCAACAATGAGTCATAAATCATCAAAGAAAAATATTTCAACAATACGTCGATCATCTTCATCATCATCGTCCGAAGATGATGATGAACACGATGATTTTAATTCAATTTATCATCAATTTGATATACATGGAAATCGCATTAGAAAACCAATGAATTATGGAACAAAAATAAGTTATGTTGATGAATGTGGTAGTCGTGGTACAAATACAATAAATCCCGCATTAATGAAAAAATCAACGACATTAAATAAAAACGATAAGAAATCAAATGGTGGTCGAAGGAAAAAAGATTGTATTATTAGTTAAATATTCTGTATAGTTTTCAATATTGATCGAGATAAATTAAATAATACGTGTTCTTTATTTAAATAATTCTTCATGTGTATGAAAATTTTTTTCTGTTTTTTGTTTTTCTTGTTGCGCTTCTTTTTTTTTGCGAAAAATCTTATTTTTGATTTGTGTGTGTGCATTTCGACACGGCAAATTACTAAAAGATACATATTGCAAAGATATTCAGAAAGAAATTGTTGTTTTTTTTTTGTTATTAAGGAGTAAAACGAAAAGATTGAATGAATACGTTTTTTGTCATGATCCATTATCAAGATTGGCGTCTGCGAGTTATAGAGTAATATTGCACGACTTATTTACATTTATTATTTCATACAAAATGATATTTAGCAGGTCCTCTCAAAGAATATTGACCATTCGAAGAGAAGAAATTGTTTTGGAAGAATTTTTTTTTGACTAATAATTCGTTTAGATAATTCTAGCTTTTTGGAAATAATCAATTTCTTCATTCTTTCTCAGCATGCATATCTTATTGAACATCATTGGCTCAGTAAAAGATACTGTGTAATATTAATTAACAGATAGTTAATTGTGTTTAGTATAGTAAAAAGTCAAAAGACGAATGAGTACTGTAAAATCTAGTCAATGCAGGCTACCTATAAAAACTACGGATATTGCCAAAGTTGCAACAAAAATGGAGTTTCAAATGAGTATCATACAGATATCCAGATTGTACAAGATGTATAACTGAGAAACATCAAGGTAACTATCGTTATGTTTTACAATTAAAAATAAGATAATCATGGGTATCCGTGTGGTTTGCAGTTTTTACAAGTATTCTATAGTGATGATGGAAGTCAAAGGATTGCAATTGTGCAATAGAGCTGAAGAATTTACAGGCAGTATCCTGAAGTCAATTATGGAACGTTTCGAGTACTATTCTCAGATAGCCAAAGAACAAGTCAGATATTAGATCGAAATTGATTAATTCATATAAAAAAAAGCTGCTCACACAAATCAGGTCCTAATCAAACACTTGTTTTTACAGTTCATCGACTCGTTTGATCTAAACTTTTACGCTGAAATTTTCATAGACCTATTTTATATAGAATCTCTTTTTAAAGAGAAGTGAAAACGATTGGACGGTGGCTAGGGTTCTGCTCAGAATGATGTTGGTCAATGTTTTAGTAGAGATAATGTGTAAAAACATTTCTTCTTCTAATTTGACGGTATTGAATTTTTTGGTATATTAAGCATAATTAAGTGTTGATTAGCGTACCATGAATATGATAACGATCTTCATGTTTCAATTCATCGATTTTTTCTGATTTAATAACGTTACGAATGAAATATTTATTATAGCAAGCACTAAACTTCATGATACACTGTTGATTAAAATTGAAGCCAAATGGGCATAGCATCTTGAATGCGTCGCATACAAAAATAGGTGATAATTTTAACTGAGACCTGAGAAACAGATGCCCAAGTAATTTAGAGTCTATTTCTATAAAAGAAAACTGAGAAATATGTATGGTATATTGATTGCTGCTCTGCACTTCGGAGAGTGGGTGAGTTGACCAACAGTTTTTTCCTTTATGCTTTCAATATTTCTTATTAACTCCTTCTATTTTCTATCATCCGAGCACGCTAGGTTCTTGTTGTGTTGACCCATATGTAGCCTATTTCGAATCCCAGACCTGTACGAATAAGGAAGATGAAAGAAGGTTTCACTCACAGTAGCGACGTAGGAAGCCAGGATCAGAACAGATTCGTGTCTGAAGAAAAAATAATCAGTGCTTCGGTGTCTGCAGAGCGTTGGCGTCATATGTGAGTTCTCAATTCAGATGTTTAAAAAACCAGCCGTGTACTTGCAGATAAGATCCCTTATTCCATTAAAAGAGTTTTTGAACATGACAAACTTGCGTTCTTCAACAATTTTGTATGTAAATCAGATCCTTTTCTACAATGAAGAAAAATAAGACATCTATGAGTCAAATATGATTTATAACCAGCTAGCAATTATTTCGTGTTTTTGACTAGATCGTTCTTATCGCATTGGAAAGCTTGAGATCATAAACATATTTGTTTTTACAGTTCTACGCTCAAATTTTTCTCATGAAGCGGTTAATTATGAAAGAGTCTCTCTAAATACTAAATATGTTTAATCGACAACACATCAATATGATAGTACATCACAGATTCGTTAAAAACACATCTCAACTGTTCAGTAGCAATGGTTAACCATCGAAAATGCTGGCGTTTACCCTTATATCAAGCAATTGACAACACTTAATTTTTGCAAGGATCTATTCAGATACATTTTCTTTCCTCGTCGACCTCTGAAACCTTCAATATGTGACGAAGTCACACAACAGCAAACGATCTCAACAAAGCAAGGTCCAGGAAATTTTTCTATTGAAAAAACTTAGCATTCCAATAAAAAGATACCGGCATGCGAAATATGGAAATACAACACTCTCAAAGTAAAATCACCAACATACTACCATTCTTATGTTTTCATTCCATTAATTCTCAACGTTTAGGTTCACATAATACAAACAAAAATCGAAATGAAATATCAAGCCTTATTTGTTAGCAGTCAATTCTTTCAATAGTTGCAATATGCTAGGACAAAAATGTAAACTGTGGAAATCGAAGTAACATAGTTAGATGTATATTTAACAATGATACGTTTAAAATCTGTTTCTTTTTATTTTGTTTGATAAACTAGAATACATAAAATCCGCGAACAAATAGGAAATCTTGGATTCAATCATTCGCATAGCGTCAATCGTGATTGATAATGGCTAATACAAATACATAATTATTTGTTGAGAATTGTGTATAATATAAACGACAGGAACACGTAAGGCGTAAGAGCTACCCGTTCTTGATTATTAGACTTCATACACATCGTTCAATGAAGAATTTTATACTATTTATTTTAGTAATCATTTTGCTATTGATTCTACAATGTGCAAGGCTATAATGACTCAAAAATATTGCTCTAATCATTCTATAATCAAAATTATTGTCAAAATGGTGAAACATCTTGCTGATAGGTTCGCACAATAATATTATTTTTTTTTTAGTTTCTTATAATGCCATTAAATCAAGCATTCATTTTTGTGTCGAGTCTTCTATGAAAAAGCCTTTAGGAGAAAGGTTTTTGATTCAGTTTTCATATGCCACTTTCGTAACAGCATAAATATTTATAGTTTCTAATAGAACCTGATCTGACTGAGTAGCCTAGTTTGAGGAATTAGTCCTTTTGAACAAATCTTTTCATTAGAAGTGAACAGTTTAAACAGTGCATGTAGTGTTTTTAACTCTATGATAGAGCTGAAAAAGTAATATGTAGTTTGTTAATTTTAGATCGATTAGTTTTTTATCAGAAATTTTTTTAAAAAGCTTAGTTTTTGAACGAAAGTAATTTAATTACATCAGCTCCTATGAAAAATACTGTTTTAATAGCTCATTAACTTATTGAAATTGTACTTTTGAGTTGGAATTAGAGTTCACCGAGTTGAACTCGGATCTGACCGAGTTCGGCTCTGAAAATTTTTAGATCCAACAGGTTCTAATTGAAGCAGTTATAGAATTATCGATTATTTTTTGTTTTATTATCCAATGATGAATTTGTACTATCAAACAAGTATTTAATAATAATCGTAGACACAAACTATATGTAAATTTGTTATTCTCTACGGACAGTATCGATTTTAATCATAACCAAAGCTTTGATAAGATATATAGAATTGTTTATTTTTGTCACACTTTAATGATACAAAAAAAGGTTAGCTGCCGATTTTGAATGTTTACTGTCGGATATCGAATCTTGTTGATCTTTATTAAGTGAATTCATAAACGCATGCATAGATGTTTGCTCTCGTTTTTTACGTTCGTATACGGGCTTAGACTTAATATTTGCAGACAATCGAGTATGAGTTTGTTCGTATGATGGTGTTTGCTGTTTATATTGTTCACGAACTGATGAATGTAAAAGAGTTTCTGGATGAAATTGATGAATAATTGTTGCACGTTTACTTAAATCCATACGTGTGGCAAAATCTCTGATCTGATCTTTGTTAAAATAAACTGTTAATAATCTGTAAAATATAAGTTTCGTTTTTTTCTTTTTCTCTGATAGTTCTAAATGTAACTTACGCTACTATTACTACTATAGTAAGACATGCAATAATGATAACAAGAATCTTATTTGAAATCATAGATCTAATTGTATTTTTTTGATATTCTTTATTCAATTCTTGTAAACGATTTTCACCTATATTTGTTTGATTTTGTATCAATCGATCAAAAATATATTGTTGAGTTCGTAGTATGAGAAATATAAAGAGTAAAAGTTTCATATTAATTTCTATATAATTGATAGGTAAACTGAACTATTGTAGATATTTACTTGAACAATTATAAATACTAGTAACCGCGCTTATTATAATTTTCGTTTCTTTTATTATTTTTTTAATTAACAAAAAAAATTGAGCAAATTTTTATTTTATTTAAGTAATTGATTTTGCGTGTCGTCGACAAAATTCGACTATTCGTTGGCATGCTTCTTCGGTTTTATCCGTTGGTGTTGTAAGTACAATACGAAAGAAATTATCAATACCAAATACCTAAACAATAAAATTTATATATTTAATATTGATCAAAAAATAATTTACAGATGCAGGAAGACATGATATTGATTCTTCACAAATTAGTTTAGTAAAAAAGTCTTTATCATTTTCAATATCCTGAAAATCCGATGGATTTATACGAATAAGCATATACATAGCACCTATAATGAACATCAAATGAAAGAATAAATAAATTCAGACCTTTTATTTGTTTTTACCTTGAGGCATAATCGGTTCAAGGCCAGGTGCATCTAAAAGTGAATGATAAAAGTAATCTGCATTGCTCTAAATAGATTTTAGTTAAATAAATAAATAGAATTCATTAAATTTTTACATGAAGTTGATTAAGAATATCATCAAAATAAGAATCTGGAGTTTCAGAAAGGATATGAGGTAGAGCTGCTTGAGTAACTGAATTTGGACCAAGAATACGGCTAGATAAATCTATCAGACCAGGTTGAATTGTATCTAGAATAATGAAATTATTTAAATATATTATTATCATTCTGCTTTACCTTTGAAAAGATTATGTCTATCATTGATAACAATCCAACCAACACGCCATCCTGGACATATAAATCGTTTTGCGATACCACCACAAGAAAGTATCGGTACATTTTCTGACAGTTCACCAAGAAAATAAAATTTATTATTAGAGAAGACCTTCAAGAAAAATAAATTAAAAATCAATTCACTTTTTAATCTATTACCATATCTGCATAAATTTCATCAGCAATAATTGGTAAATGATGTCGTTCACATAGATGTATAATTTTTCGTAAATGTTCTTCTGTATAAACAGCTCCACATGGATTACTTGGATTATTGACTAAAACAGCTCGTGTTCGCTTATCAATTAATGATTCAAGATGACTTAAATCAGCTTGCCAATTTTCATCTGGCTAAATTAATAAAAAACAAACAAAAACTCTAAGGTTTGCGTTCTTTTTTTAATTTAATTTACTAATAATTTATAACATCGAGTTTCAATATCAAGCGATTGACATAATGTGACATATAGCGAAAAGCCAGGTTGTGGAAGAAGAATATTATCTCCTGGATTAGCCATACAATCAATACACATTTCTAATGCATGAGAACAACCACTAGTTAAAATAACATTCTAGATGAAGAAAAGCAAAATCGAAGTATTATGATTATTTTTTTGTTTGTATTTACTTCAGGTTTTAATGTATAATTCGATCGAGACCAAAACTGAGCTACTGCTTTTCGTGCATCTAATATACCTAGATAATTTAGAAGAAAAAAGGAACAAAATGCATACAAAATCTTGATTAATATAGTTTACCAAATGATGGAGCATAACCATGTGATGTAGGTAATTGTACAGATTGAAGGATTGCTTCTAAAGCTTCAACCGGTGGAAGCATATTTCCATAATGTGTTGGATCTCCTATGGATAGGGATATCATTTCTTTAGCAGGATTTGGGCTTATTTTCATTCGATCAACAATACGTCGGATAGGATTTATTGTGTTTCGAGCACTTCTGGACGCTTGAATCGGTAGCCAAACATTTTCTATTCCATTCGTCATAGGTTCTTCTGTATTATTCATACTCATTCTATATTATCTACGAAATATAAAGTACCTGTATGTATATATTATATTTATTATCTACATACTGCGAACGTATTTTAACTAGTAAAATAAAGGCACGTGAATTAAAATGACTGCCATTGTTTCTATCAGAGTGTATAAATACAGCGTCTAATAAGTTTGCTGTTCTTATCTACCTTCTCAGTCGTTCTTGAATACATAGTCGACACCTCTTTTTTCTTTTTTTTCTCCTACTACTTTCTTTTCATTTAATTCTGGGAATAAAATAGGTTATAAACATAAAAATAATATGTCACAAAGCTAATTTGAAAAAGGAAGAGGAGGTGTGGTTCACTAAAGGGTGTGTATCCATAGAAAAGAAATTCAATAATAACTTATATTTAATAATGATGATAATTGATATGATAGAATGATGTTCTAGTCAAAAATAATTTAAAAGAAAAGATTATTTTCTCAATAGTTATCTTCACTGAACAATAGAAACCTGAATAATATGATCTAGTTCGAAGAAGCAAACAATTGCGAACATTTAAATATAGATAAGCAATATAACTAAGGCAGATACTAATATAAGAAATACAGATATCGTTTAAAACTTGAAATATGAACTTATCTTTATTTTACGTATGAAATATTTATTTTGTATGATTATTTAAAAGATTTTTCAAGGAATAAGGAGAATATTTGTTCGATCATGTGTATTTCCATCAGTATCTTCGTATTTATTGCAAAATATTTCAGTTTGTTAACGAGAGATTGTACTCTTTTATAATTATGTATTCAAATCAATGGTAATCACTTCTTAATGTGCTTTTCCAGTGACTTTTTTAAACATGCGACTTCTTATAAAACACATCGAGTCACAATCGATCATCAAATTTTTATACTTTCGTAGTTCGAGCGTAGGATTATTATGCTATCGTATCTGTTTGCTTTTCTGTTTTATCTATTATATGCAAATGAAAATCGATTTTCTCACATATAGAGCACATGATATAAAAACAGATTGTTATAATTGACACAATGACCCACCCAGTGATTGCTTTGTCTCCCAGCCCTGATAACGAGAAGGGTTTCAAACAACGATCAAATACACATTATTTGAAAAAGACGAATTATCATGTGATTCGACTTAAGCCCCCCCCCCCCCTCAGAAACCAACTTTGTTATTTTCATCCAATTTCAACCAAAATTTCAGAGAATGTTAGTCTAGACTAGGAGAGATTATGATTAAAATATCTACCCAAATCTCTAATAAACTAATGAGTTATAGTCAATTTATTGGTTAAAAGTACCCTGTACGCGGGCAAGGATTTCGCAATAAGGATACGAGCTACCAAACCCGGCCGATTTTCAAGTTTTAGAGTACCCTTAGGGCTAGATCCTCCCAGGACCCGATTTTTGAATTTTCCTTTGTTTGTTTTTTAAAAACCCTTTTTCGTAAAATTCAAGAAATCATGCCCAAAAAATTGCTACTAAAAAATAAAATATCTAAGGTTTTTATTTCACTAAAAGAGGAATTCAAAAATCGGATCCTGGAAGAATCTAGTCCTGCCTGTCTACTATGCATTAAAAAAAATCATTAATTATATATTGAGTTATTATGAAGAAAACCTTGCCCGCGTAAACGGTATGCTCGAAAAAATTGATTTTGAGAAAGACGAAAAATAAGTTTTTAAAAACCTTATTTTTTTCAATATGGGGGTTCGGAAAAACCTATGTAACATCCTTAAATCTCATGATAAAATCAATCAACTATAGTGCATTCGAGAGTAGGCACTTCGCTCTATCTAATGAGTTATAAACCACAAAATCGATAAATTTGACCAAAATTGACTTTTCTGAGGGTCGAACCCCCCTTTATTAAAAATGTTATTCCATATTGAGTAAAAGAAGGGATATAGTGA